GTGCACTTGCCAGAAAGACAGAGAGAGACAGAGAGATAGAAAGTGAGAAATCACCCCCTAGGAGGGATGGCCACTCCGCAATCTCTTCTCCTCCATTCTTGGGGGCACACACGCACACGCGCCCGGCATGAGTTTAAGCCACCGGGTCCAGGACGTAAACTGCATTTGACTATATGGGAGTTCAGCAACATAGCCATTATGCTAACTGCTGGTCCCAATGTCACTTAGCTTTTAAGTGAGTATTCCAACATGCATACATTTCTCACCAGCCCAGTTGACAATAGTATACATGTTATCTTCAACAGATAATAACCCATTTTTCTGCCCCATAAATGACTTGCCTCTCTATTTTCCTCCTTAATGTCTTTTCTCAGAGTCTCTTCCTTCACCCACCCTCTACCCTTACTGTATCTGGTATTTATAACCATTTTCTATGTTTCTATATCCTCTAGTCATTCAGTTTCCACCATAGAGTGCAGACACTTGGTATATATTAAGTGGAGACATACGATGTCTCTCTTTCATAGCCTGGCTTTATTCACTCAGTAGTAAATCTTCCATATTCATCCACTTTCTGTCAAAACCTGGGGTCTTAATTTTTTTTTAATGGCTGACTAGTATTCCATAAAGTATATGTGCCACACTTTTTCAGTCCATTCCTCTGTTCACGAGCATTTGGGTTGGTTCCATGACTTAGCAATTGTGGATAATGCCACAATAAACGTTGATGTGCAAGCACTGTTCTGACTAAGAATTCTTCTGTCCTTTAGGTAGAAACCAAGGAGTGGGATTGCTGGATCATATGGTAGTTCTATTTGTAGATGAGGAACCTCCATATTGTTCTTCACAGTGGCTGGGGCCAATTTACATTCCCACCAGCAGCATAGGAGGGATCCTCCCCCCCCTTTTTTTTTTTCTAATCTTAGTTATTCTGACTGGGGTTAGGTGGTATCTCATTGTGGTTTAGATCTGCATCTCCCTTATCATGAGGGATGTTGAGCATTTTTTCATATGTCTTTTGGCTATTCGTATGTCTTGCTTAGAGAGTGTTTTCTTTTTTTTTTTTTTTTAAACACTTATTATTTTGGGAACCAGCAGTTAGCGTAATGGCTATGTCGCTGGATTCCCACATAGTCGACCACAGTTCGCGTCCCGGATCCGGTGGCTTAAAACTCACGTCGGGCCCGTGTGCGTGTGTGCCCAACATCCCGAGAGGAGAATGGAGGAGAAGGGATTGCGGCGTGACCATCCCCCCTGGGGGGTGATTTCTCGTTTTC